TCAGTCTAGGGTAGTAAAGTAATTATATAATAAATTATATAGTAAAGCAATTATATAAATTGTCTAGAATTTGAACCTGATTATTAGTTTAAACTTTGAGTTATTAAAGAACACTCACTCATTTTTGCTGGTTATGTAACTTGGTACCAACTTTTCAGAGGCCAACTTTGCAGAGTCTATCAAAAATTAAGGTTACATTCTTTGAAGCAGCAATTCTCTTACTGAGTATCTGACCTACAGAGATAGATATCTAACCATGTATGTGTACAAAAACATATGTAGAGCAATCCGTTGCATTCTGGTTTATAAAAATGAAAAATGGGTAGTGGATCAGTCCTCCTCCCGTGCCAGAGTCTGATCTTGGAAGAAGTCAGAGCCTCTTTTTTGATGTTTCCCAAATGTTGCATATGGCACATGTCAAAAGCTGTGCAAATTTTATCTAATCCACTGTGTTTATTTTCTTCAACATAAAGGTGAAATATTTTTACATTTTCCCAATGCATTTCTCAGTAATAACATAGCCAGTAAAAATATTTTGGTTCATGTAGAGCAATGCTATTATATCTTAGCCAAGGAAAAAGAACACTCTCATATATGGGTGGAGGGGAAAAAAGAAGCTGCATTTGTTATCAAGAAAGAGCCGAAAATATAGCAATTACTATACTGCCCTTTCCCTAATTTGACTTAAATTAGTGACTTCAAGTTATCAGAGGATATGAAATATACAATATGTGCACATAGGAGACAAAAATATTGCTTGCTAGTACCTACGTTTATGACATTAATCTATCTCTCAATGATCTAATATAAAATAAACCATTTGAAAGCAATTTCATTGAAATACTTTCAGAAGTGTTGAAATGAAAATATTAATCTTTTGGAAGTGTCATTTTAGATGTCTTTTTTTTTTTTCTTCTTATCCCAGGAAGATGGGTTGGGGAGTACTGAGAATAACAAAACAGCCAAGGAGAAGCAAAACCAAGAGGGCTACTTCCTTTTTACCTTTCTTCTTTCCTCCCGCTTTCTTTTTATCCTCCCTCTCTTCTTCCTTTCATTCTTCCTTCTCTCCACAAATATTATGGAAAGCCTGCACTAAATAAGATACTGGCTAGGCATGGACACACAGATGTAAAACAAAACAAGACTCTGTCCCATGGAGCCCAGGGATTTTCCGTAGAGTTGGAAATGGATTCCTTGAGGTGGGTGCAAGTGTGATGGGGAAGCTGCAGGGTCATACTGAGCTCGCTCGTGGATACTCACTTTAGGCTGTTGCCTGTTCAACAAGTCTCCCTCCCACTTCTTGTGCAATTATACTCCTGCACTCTTTTTTTTTTTTTTTTTTTAACTTCAGTCTACTTTTTCCTTAACCACAAATCAATAAGTCAATAAATAATAAAAAGAGTTGTTTTCAGTCTTTCAGGAACATTGAGATATGTTTCATAAACACAATTAAAATTATCCCAGAGAAATAGAATTGGAGCTGGGAATTATATAAATTTTTCTGTCTCTGGCATACAGGTGTATTTTATGCCTACCTATGTAGTTTCTTTACAATAGGAACAAAAGACAGTTCTACCTCAAAAATGACTAAAACCCTTAAGAATTTATCACCTCACTTAAAATAGAAACCAATCTGTTCACTGTGGTCCAGCATAATCCAACCCCACTCTACCTCTGCTTCATCTCATCTCCTTCAGTACCTTGAAAATGCTGGGGTCTTTTATAATTTAATTTTATCATACTAGTGTCGATTTCCTTTGTTGGGATGGATTATATTGCAATCTCTACATTGTTTGTGCTTGTTTATTTATTTAGTCTCCTCTGCAAAATGTAAGCTCCCTGAGAAAGTTTATCTCTCTTGTTTGCTATTATACTATATCCACAGAGCCTGGCATAGATGTCTGGCACATGTTTGCTGGATGAATGAATGAATGAACAAGTGAATGGGCATACTAATTTGAAACAGAGAAAAACAGAATAGTCAACTTTTTAGAAGATGGACTAAAGTGTTAAAAATATGAGTTTGGGGTGACACAGTTTGGCTTCAAATCAGTTTTATCACTTACAAACTGTGTGACCTTTGGGAAATTACTTAACTTCTCTGTGTCTCTGTTTCTAGAGAATGAAGATAATCATAGTATCTGTCTCGACACTTGTTGTGATTGCCAAACAATATAACACTTCTGAAATACTTTGATCAGTAAATGCTAAAGAATGGTCAGGAAGTCCTGTATTCAAGACCTTCAGAAATACCATCACCCACTAGGATTTGAATGCCTATGAAAGTTGGGAAGTAGGTCGTCCTGCTGCTCTTCACTTTGCCTAGTTTGTGAGCCTGAGAGCTGGTGGCCACTGTGAGAGCTGGGAGGACCGTTGTGCTTCCTCCCATATGGTTGACCAGGGCATCCCAAATGCACATAGCCCTGTCTGACTTTACTAATGGAAACCAAGGCCTTCTCACATAGGTGCAATGTGGAGCTGGTTCTCAATGACAGTATTTCACTAACAGCGCAGAGGAAAAAATTAGAGTGCACAACTCAGGGAATCCCTGCCCAACTGCCAGCCTCATAGCATCAGGGGTTTGCTCGGCAGAAATGACAAGACAGTGACAATTTTTAGACTGCACACTGGAGTTTGATTCAGAATCAAGATTTGTAACAAGCTGAAAGTGATTCATCAGTTCAGTTTTGTAGATAGATGAGCATTCCCTTGTTTCCTTGGAAACTCGGACCTGAGCATATGCAGCTTGGAATGTGCACCCTCATGTTTTCAATCGAGCAGATACAGGATGAGTTTCTCCCAAGAGATTCAATATGTTGCCTAAAACAGAAGAACCAAGAATAGGAGAGAATTGCCGTATTAAAATCAGACACTACAGACATGGCTGGATTTCATAAAACACAGTAATTCCAGATAACAGAAACAGATACTCTCATAATCTGGCCCTTGATGGGTTAACCATTTTCTTTATTTCCATAATTTATTTTTATCTGAATTGAAAAGGTGAGTGCGCTTCTTGAAATATCCCTTTGTGTACATTTAGAATGTCTAATATTTACACCGCTTACTCCTTGGGGATCTTCATGAGCTAAAAGTAAGCACCAAGCTCCCAGTTTTGCACCGTGGCATACAGAGAACAAGATAGATTAATTCTTGCCCTGGAATGTTTATGACATATATGAGATAATGTTAGTCTTTTCAAATAAAGTCTTAAATTTAGCATAATCTTTAGTTCCTAAAATGCTCCAAATGCTGCCTCTGCTTTATGTTTGGGGCTTGGAATGCTCTGGCACTTGCACATTTGCACATGGTACATTTAAAACGCCTGCTACTTCCTACTACTACTAATAGCTTCTTAATGTCAGGCACCATGTTGGATCCTATGTACCTTCTTTCAGATTCTCAGGCTTTTTTTCTCTGTTTAGCAAATGAAGAAATCAATGTTCAGAGAAGTTAAAGCAATTTTCTATGGCCAAACCATTTTTTAGTGGGGAAATTGGAAGTTGAACACAAATCTCTCTGATTCCAAAACCTGCATCTGTTACTCAAGAACAACATTATCTACTATAAAGCAGAGTGGAAGGATGGAATGCTCTGCTTAATTAATATTCTTGTTAATAAAAAGTACAGGCCGGGTGTGGTGGCTCAGTCCTCCTAGCATTTTGGGAGGCCGAGGAAGGCAGATCACTGGAGTCCAGAAGTTCGCGACCAGCCTGGCCAACATGGTGAAATCTGGTCTCTACTAAAAATACAAAAATTAGGCCAGACATGGTGGCACGTGCCTGTAACCCCAGCTACTCGGGAGGCTGAGGTGGGAGAATCACTTGAACCCAGGAGATGGAGGTTGTAGTGAGCCGAAATCACACCACTGCTCTCCAGCCTGGGCGACAGAGTGAGACTCTGACAACAACAACAAAAAAGTACAGATATTCTGATATATCATTTATAATTTACTAACAGTCAAAATATTATAATAGGGCAAATGAGTGGCAAGGAAAGAAATATTAACTCAGTGTGGGGGAAAACAATCCAATCAATAGTAAAAGAGCGAGAGCTGCCACAAATAGTATGGATACTATGAGAAGTTGTTCACCTGCTTCCACTGGGTCTATAATTAGAGACTGAAAGCCCACATGTAAGGCATATAGTGGAAAAGATTTCCACTTTTTTTGTGAAAGATGATGCTGAAGGCCCCTTTCAATTTTAAGGCTATGAATCTGGACAACAGAGACCCATAGTGAATGAGATTTAATCTTTGCTGATTCAGAAGGTGCTTCAAGGCTTTCCAGTGCCTCATGGACATCACTGTCATCATCAATTACAAGTCCTGGGATGAGACGAAATGTTGGATTCCTAGCTAAAAGAAGACCAGCTAAAACAAGCTTGTTAAAAAAAATATATATATATATCTTAAACTACTGCCAGGAGCCAAAGTTCCCTCTAGCTCAAGGGTCTGTAAACCTTTTCTTAAAGAGCCAGTTAGAAAATCTTTTAAGTTTTTTTTTGCCCTACGTAGCCTCTGTCACAACTACTTGACGCTGCCATCAAAGAGTGAAAGTGAACATAGGTGATATGTAAATGAATGAACAGGGCTATGATCCACTATAACATTATTTATAAAGCAATTTGTTGGTGCTTATTTTTAATTTTCCAACCCCTGCCCTAGATTAAACATCTCCCAAATTTCACACATTTTTTTCTTATCTGGTGAATATGCAAAGAGCCAGTCTCCAAACTTAATTACAATGGTTTAAGACCACCTAGGATTTTTTTTTTCTTTTAATGTAGACCATAGATAATGCAATAAAAAAAAGAACCGATAAAATAAGTAAATTTGCAAGGGATTTCCAACACTAAATCAAACCAACAAGCAAACAAACCAACAAACTTGGAAGAAGAGAGTTCTCACAATTGCCTATGGGAAATTAACTAGGACCATCAATTGAACTGAAATTATCTCCAAGGATTTAGTTGACATACAGCCAGTGTTCACTATGATGACCATAGCCAAATATTATTTGTGCAAGTATCTACAAATGAATTTAGAGGAAATTGTAATTTTTCTCTTTCGTCATTTAAGTGGTGAGAAGCCCATCAAAATAATAACACATGGTAGGGCTTACTGTGCTGCATGGAAATAATGCTTAAGTAACACAGTGCCAGAGCACCTCTGTCTAATTACTTAGGCACTATTGTGATGGATAGTTTACAAACATTGAGGTAGCTATTGATAAAGCAAATGGAAAATATGAATGTTCTTCAAATTTCTGACATCAGAGATGGACACTGAGCTCCTGGTTTAAATGGGAGGCTCATGGCTTCTTTCAATTGCTTGAAGCTTCCTCTGGAGTTAGATTATTTCAGTTTCACTAAGTGGAAGTTAGAATCAGCACAGGGCTTTCTGTGGGACATTTTAATTACTCCTAATTTAAAATATTATAAACCACTATTTTTTTCCTTTTTAAAGAAAGAAAGTCTGTCATTGACTCACTTCTGATTTTAAAATACCTAACTTATGAAGAATGCATGCCTCAAACACCCAGACAATTCTGCAGAAAGGAGATGCTTGTGTGGGGACATCTCTGGAGTTGCTATTTATGCACTGTGAAAATCTGGAGGAGTCGTGTGATCTCTCAGCCTCAATTTTTTACAAATTAAGTCTACAATATGTAGCTCAAATGCCACTGTGGTAGTTAAGAATATAACCTATGGGGAAGCATTCTATAAAACAAATAAAGCTATGACTGTTATTGATGTTGTTAAATAATTTAAAAAATAATATAAGAATATTTATGCCAAACAAAAATTAATTAATTCATTGGAAAAAATCAGTCAACTCTCCTCTTATCTTTAAAAAACTGCCTTAATTGAATCACAGTAATTAATGAAGTGGCCAAGTGTCAAGATAGCCACAACTTTTGTACTAATAAGGATTCTACTCTATGAAATTTCTCTGGTGATGGTTCCCTTTAGAAACTTTACAGAGAAATTGATAATTACTTTCTTGATGGAGTATGTGGGGCCTTTGTCTCCTCACATTCTTTCCAGAGGGTTTATTGGCCTTCCACTATCCATTTCAGTGACTACTTTGAAAAATGTTTACCCCCAAATAGTTAAGTTCATGATTCTGCTTGTGCAAAATGCAAAATTTTTTGTGTCTGTTTTTTTGGTGAGAGAAAAGCCAAGTTCATTATATATATGTTTGACATATATATGTTTATAACCATATATATGTTTATATATACCTTCCTGAAATAATGAAATCATATATTTAACATATATTTAATCAAATATATATACTTTCCAACTTTTAAGTTCAGGGGTATATGTGCTGGATGTGCAGGTTTGTTATATAGACAAACGTGTGCTATGGTGGTTTGCTGCACAGATCAACCCATCACCAAAGTATTAAGCCCAGCATCCATTAGCTATGCTTTATGATACTCTCCCTCCCCTCACCCTCCACCCTGGTGTGTGTTGTTCCCCACCATGTGTCATGTTAATTTTTCAAGTGTAAGAAATATGAAGTTATTAAATAATAATGTTCTACCTGAAAACTTGCTATTTAGTTAACATTATTATCAAAGTAGCAAAAATAATATATATTACTTTATATAAAAACCACGTATTATATGACTATATATACACATATAATTGAAATCAGGTAGTTTATCTTGGCCTTAAAGAAAAACTCTAACATATTTATTGCTTAAACATGAATGCCTTTATAAACTTTTTTCCTTTCCAGTCTGTCTCCAGACTATCCACAGGTCTTTGGTTCATCTCCCTACTTAGGCTGAACTCTTCAATAACTACAAATTCATAAACACTGCAATTTATTCTGTAACAAGCCATAAATCTTCTTTTTGTTGCTTTTACATTAGAAACAGAGCTAATGTTTATTGAGCTCTTGTCCTGTGTGAGATACTTTACTTGATTTGTTTTCATTTCATCTTTATAGCAACACTCTGGGAAGTAGATATTATTATTGTTATTTTAAAGATGAGGAAACTAAAGAGTAGAGATTAAAATTGGTTAAGGACATGCATTTAATGAATGATGTAGCTAGTGTTCAAACCTAGGGTAGTTAGATAATGAAAACTCAAATTCTAATCTCTCTCTTTTAATCTGCCCTTTAAATCCATTAATTTAGAAATCACCAATCGGAATGATCTCTTGACATATATATAATATATTCTATATAAACTATTATATATTATATGTAATTGTGTAATATGTAATGTATAGGCATCATATTGTATATAGGTATACATATAAAATATATGCATATAAATGCATTACACACATATAGACATATATATTTTATGTATACATCAAGAAAATTACCCAGCACATTGCAAATGCAACAGAATTTACATGGTCACTTGCATGTTTTCTGCATTTCTACAAAAGAATCTGCAATGAAAGATGTTAAATAGGATGCAATTTGTAAGCCTTTCATTAAATAATGATTCTCAGCTGGATTTCTGAGAAGGGAATATTAATGCAACCATATGTAACTAGCATTGCAAGAAATTAGCGTTGCTGATTTAGTCTTGAATCAATCATTTTAAGCTATGCATTAGACTCTTTGCTGACACATTTCTGTCTCAGGCAACTTAGAAATTGTGGGCTGAATGCAGCTATCCTCCAAGTATAATTTGTATGAAATATCACTACTATTTCAAGTTTCTTAGGTTTGAGTAGGGAGTGATCAAATCCATATGCAGAAAGACAAAATGGCACTACTCAAGGTCTGATGGCTAATTATTTAATACCAATCTCTAACATGTACCCTCTTGGGCATGCGGTTTGGTGATAAGTCAAGTTTCAGATGCCAACCAAAAGCTGAGTCTCTGGATGTGGGGGCTGAAATGAGTTACAGTGTGGGTGTGGATGCGTGAGTTAAAACCTTCAAAGCCCTTATTTGGTTGCCAAGTTTTGAAAATACTATGAGCCATTTTTGAATTTCCTTGGAAACCGTATTACCAAGCCAGTTCTACAGCATTTTCTCCAAGATTGAAGCGTTGAAGTATGCTATTGCCCATGCTTATTTTATTAGTCACAAGAGGTGTTTTAATAACAAAGATTAAGTCATCACCCAGTGACAGTCAGGATTTTAGCTAAGAGATCATAAAAGGAGAGGAAGCAGAATCCTAAATAGAACTAGATATGACTTGTCTTCTGGAGAGAAACTATGGTGAGAAATGTTGCTTGGACATACAGATTTGTGGCCACTTCAATGACTAAAATGTCCAGTTTGGCTGAACTCTGTGTATCATATGACATGATTGCATTTGATTATTATTTCTCTTAACTTTCTTTTATTCTATAAGTGCCTCCCTCCTCCACTTTTAACTTGAGTACTCTGTTATTTTTATTATGAGGAGTGGATTTAGTTAATCACTACCTCATAGTATGGCTTAACTTGTTTCTCTATTTCCTGTATTTCTTGCACACTAGTTAGATCTAGAGACTTGATTAGATTGATTCAAATTTATTGTCAGTAAGACTCCATGAGTGGTGCCGTGTCCTTGCTATTGCATAATATCCAAAGCACATAATATTGGGTTAATCAGTGGGTAGCTTCCCAGGTGATGTATTAGTCACCTGTATTAGTCCATTCTCACATTGCTATGAAGGAATTCCTAAGACTGGGTAATTTATAAAGAAAAGAGGTTTAATTGACTCACAGTTCCACATGGCTGGGGAGGCCTCAGGAAACTTATAATCATGGCAGAAGGCACTTCTTCATAGGGCGGCAGGAGAATGAGTGCCCAGAGAAGGGGGAAGCCCCTTATAAAACCGTCAGATTTCATGAGAACTCACTCACTATCATGAGAGCAGGATGGGGGAAACTGCTCCCATGATTCAATTATCTCCACCTAATCACTCCCGTGCAGGGATTATGGAAACTACAACTCAAGATGAGATTTGGGCGGGGATGCAGTGAAACCATATAACCACCCACCATAAAATCTCCCATCAACGTTACACCGAATGATTTTGGCAGCAATGCATGAAGGCTACCTTAATCTATTACTTCATTAGGGGGCACTAACATATTTTTCAATGAATGAAATCTACAGCAGCTAAGGTAGAAGGTGAGATGGGCCACAGCTCCTGAGAAATAGCCAAAGGCACTGGACAGGGATGGTACAACAGAACAGAGCAAATGACTCAAACGGGCAAGCTTATAAGACATCATCAGCATTTTCTAATATATCTCATAAACCTATTTTCCAGTATTAGGCAATAGAAAATCTCCAGTCTCCTGGGGGGGTGGCAAAGCCTCAATGCAAAGTGATTAAATTAAAATGAAGTGTCAAGGACAGAATGGACCTACCTTTCTGTTCCTTGATGTATCTTCTAGTCGTGTCCAGGTGGTTTCAGTCTCATTCAAGCCTCAAGTAAAACTCCAAGTAACGAGGTGACTGTTGTATCTTTTAAAATGAATATTGTACACATACTTCTTCCAAGGCAAATATTTAGTCAAAACTAAACAAATTGTAGAGACCAAATTGTCTTGTTGTTTCTCAGTTTATTTATCTCATAATAACAGCCACCAATACGGGGGGTTTGAATGTTTTCAAAAATAAACAACTACTACCAAAAATAAAACAAAACAAAACAGGTTTAGGATCTGTTTTTTGTCCATACTTTTCTCTGTCTTTTTCACTGGGTTCCTTACCTCTGCCATAGAAAACATAAAATGATTTGAGTCATTACCCGAAATTTATTTCAACAACTAATACACTCTGGATGCATAAAACAGGTTAAGTTCACAAAACCTGCTCTTTCTCAAGAAAGATAGAAATAGTGTCAACATTTCCAATTGCTCTGCTTCCTCAGCACTCCTAGCTCCCTCCAACGGGCTCTATGTTTTAGTATGTTTTTCTGTCTCCCCTCCCTAGAATTTTTAAAAATTTTTTCTGTTTTATTCACCACTTTTCCCCCCAGTGCCTAGAATAGTATCTGACACATAATGGATACCTAACAAATATTTTAGGAATATTCAGGGCTGTATATGAAATGTACAAATAACATACTCCCTGCCCATTTCTTTAACTCCATATTTGTATGTGTTAGCAAAATGTTCTCAAGTTCTCTTATTTCTATCTTGAGTATTTAAATAGAACTGTTCAAATCTATTTCCTGTGTAACTATAGGAAACTCTGCCACTGGATTGTTTTGTGGATTCCTGGTAGGTTCTTAGGTGTTCCATTCATTGTCTGTCCAGTCTTCTTCCAGGCTGTACTACCCCCAGACTGCTCTATTATTTCCACTGGCCTTCCAGGTAACAATTCTATAGGCTATGGCTCCTCCTTCTTCCCCAAGCACAGACACAGACTCTTCTTCTGTTCCCCAGGTTGTCACAGGAGTCACATTAGGTTTCCAAGGTTAAGCAGCTTCACTGAAGATTGCAGAGATAATGAGAGCTGTGCAACACACGCAGCTCTAGAGCAGACGCTGGTCATGAAGTCTATTGGTCCTGCTCCATCACAGGTGAGCCCTCTGGCCAATTTCCCCCTTAGACCTAGGTCTCCTGCGATTTTCTGGGGCCCATGCCCTCACCCATGCCAGAGGCTCCTTTCCTTTCTCCTTGCTTTTCTATCTATACACTTAGCTCCTCCCCAAGGCCTGGCCTTAGAATGGCCATAAAACAAGTAATATCAGATGACTGTTGAAGTTTGTAGATTATTTTACTTAGGTTAATATCACAATAACATCTCTTAACATCTCTGCATGTAGAAAACACTTATATTTTAACTTGTTGCATGATTCCCATAGCTGATGGTTTTTCTTCTAGATTAGAGTCTAAGTCTTGCCTTTGAAAAGCCAAAGAGCCCCATAAAAGAATTTTCTCAAAGCAAAATGAACCATTCCCATTTGATATGTTCTGCTGCTACTTTTAGAGTGTGATGTGGTATACTTACTTTACCTTTGTGTTACCTCTGGAGAGCAGAAACTGAGACAAAGACTTTTTTCTCTTTCAGAAGTTGTTCTAGGGAATAACGGATGAGACTGCAAGACAGAAACAATTCAAGGGTGCATTTTTGAGCAGGCTATCGATATGGGTAATGAGCTTGATCCCACTGGCACTTTCTAAGGAGTTGTCAGACAGATTCCAGAATTGTCCCAGAGAATGGGAGGAGAAAGCCTTTATCGATCAGCTTCTTGTGGTGACAGAATGAACTCCCAACACTTGTAGCTTCCCATGTGTGAATACCAGGCCCCTGTCACTGTGTCAGAGGACCTCTCTCTATATCATATGGCTGCAGGAGGCACTGCAGGCTCTACCTGTGCAAAACTGGCTGCCACTGCTGTGACTGGGGTACAAGGTGGGCTGGGAGCATAAAAGTTGGTACCCCAAGTTGTTAAATATAAAATCTAACAGTGGGCAGGGACTTAGAAATCCTGGGGTTCCAATTCTACTCTGCACCATTACTGGTTCATGACCTTGGACCAATTCCTTTACTTCTCTAAGGCTACATTTATTCAAAAATGGAGAATGCTCCCAAATAATAAATAAATAATACAGTTAAAAAAATTAAAACAAATTTATTTTACGATTCATTTATTTCAAAACTTAGAAATTACTAAAATAGATAATAACAAATAACATCAAAGAATTATTGAAATTTGGAGATCATTTACCTAAGATACAAAACAGAGGAATAAAACACTCAGTAGGTCCCTCAATTAGAGTAGCTATTATTATCATATAAAATTTTAATTTAAAAAGATAGTTGAATGACAACATGAATTGAACTCAAGAAAATATGAACTCTTTCTTTGGCAGTAGGCCAGCAGCCTTCCTTGGAAGAGGATGCTGCTCTTTACTGTGGGAGGTGGGTTCCTACATTTGCATTTTTCTTTATGTGAGTTATGTGAGGTGTAGGTCCCCTATTGCCTGAGAAGGGTCTTAAAGCATGGGCAGAGATGTACCAAAAACATGGTGGCATGCTTGTGTGTCAAGATGTGCAGCCACCCTGTGGAATGCTACGTAACACAAAGGCATGCTTTGGACTGTAAAGGAGGGAAACAGGAGTAGTGATGTGATAATGATCCTTCTTAAAGGAGAAAAATCTGTTTAGTAAAGCCAACCAAAACCAAGGCTGGAGACTTTTTCACTTTAGAACAACATGGTTGTCAGCACTTTGATGGGTATTCATGACAATTTTGGCAACGAAGGCAAGGAATTTGACTGAAGTTTCAAGTTGAATTTTGAAAGATGGTTGATCGTTCCAGGAAGTAAGAAATTGAATGAAATGTCATTGAAGTTTGTCTGAACACATCTAGACACAAAGCCCATCAAGATACACCCAGGCAAATCTAGATTCCTTCCTCAAAACCTCAAAATGTTTTCATGCAAGGCATCAACAGAGCTGCCAAGCCAAAGAGAAACACATCCACCAAATCCTGCAGAAAGTTTCATCTTGTCAAAAATTCCAGGGAAATTGTGAAATAAAAATAAGCACCACATATTCTTTAAAAATTATTAGAAATACTAACAATTATTATTGTTTTAGTAACTAAAAAAACCCACTAATTCAAGACTCTTATAGCCTATAAATGTAAAACAAAAACAACACAATAGAAGACTCAGCTTTTGTTAACACATTTAGGTTTGCATGAAATTACATCCTTTAGGAAAAGGAGAATTGACATTGTTTTTAATGACTGGTCATAGCAAGATTCCTGTGGTCATTTCCCTCACTAGATAAAAACACTTTGTTAAAGGCTGGCTCTTTAGGTGACTCTGGAACCAACACAGTTATTTGAGATATGCTTGGGCTAGTTTATGTCATTTCTGTAATTAATTATTTTTTCTGTAATTCTTTATTATTACTTTATTTAAGAAGGTCTGTGTCAAAGAAGTGGAAACATATTAGCACTAAATATTTACAGAATATTTATTAGTTTTCAAGGTCCTCTTATGGTTGTTAATCTCACGCTGATATGTCTTGATATTTCAATTTAAAGCGTCTGTGTGTGTCTGTGTGGATGCAACCCATGTGCGTATGCATACATCTCTGGTAGAACATATAAATATGGAAATCCCAGGAGGCCATCCTATCCACAAGGTATTATTCCAGTGGAATCTGGAAAACTCCTTTTCTGCCCCTGTGCTCTTCTTTAACCAGTAATGCTCAAAATGACAGCCTTGGTGGTTCATTGCTTTGGCTCAAGTGTTAGTCCTTTGTAACTCCCCCAAGAGAGGTGATACCTACAGTCATGTCAAACATTGAGGATGTATGAGCCAGTTTTCCAGAAATGTTTAATTTGAAGGAGGTGAGCATCTTGGGAGGACACTGGGCACTCAGAGGGCAAGGTTGGAGTTACCATGGAAAGATGTAAGGTGGTAAAGGACCCAGAAAGAAGAAGAAACTGGGAGCACCTAGGAACCACTGTGCCCACAGTGGGCCCTCTGCATAACTCTAAGGGCATGTAAACTGGAAACTGTGAAACTCATGAAGCTTTCATTTGTTCTCCCTTCCCAACAGCAACCTTGCCCTCAGTGGCATAGGTAAAGGCAGAAGGCAAATATCACTCTTGGGAGGATGATGAACATAGAGTAGGAGGAAGTCCCCATGGCCTGACCAAGAGGGGAAATAAAAGACAGCGCTTCTGGTTATCAGGGACTGTGGAAAGAAAGGTCAGAGGTAGGAGCTAGTCTTCTGAGCTTTCTAAAACAGGCTGAAGCAGAGTGCCAGGCGAGGCATGGGCTGGCTTGCCAACACAAGAGGCTGGGTGTTCCCAGGACATTGAATGTGAAACATGTAGATTCAGCCAGCACCCAAACACCATGTGAGACCCTGCAGCAGATGGCATGCCAAAAGCTAGAGTGATACCTGCCATGAGGGCCTATATCCCCACACCAATCAGGGAAAATGATGGATGGGGAAAGAAACAGCTTTCATTGGAAGCTAATCTGTTAAAAAGAAGAAATGGGATGGAGGTACTTTAGGAATTTTAAGTCAGCCATAGAAAATAAAGATACCACCATTTTCTAGCACACTTGAGTATTGTATGGGTAAATTTATAGCAGCAATAATAATTTTCAAGAGAAATATACAATTTGGAGGGATCTTATGTATGCCATTGTTTAGGTGCTCTAATGGGGGGGAATTTTTCCCTATCCTTGTTCCAGGAGAAAATTCTAATGCTTTCGTGTCTTTCTCAATGGGTAGAAATGGTAAATCAACCTTATGTGAACTGTTTCTCTTTTTCACAGGACATTTAGTTTTGTGAGATCAGATGGGAGTCTCCTGCTCATGATGAGTATATAGAAGCTTTGGTGGCTGTTTCATTATCAGATCCAAATTATGAGTTTTTATTAAAAATAATTTATCTCTGCCTAAAAAATGCTCCCAGGAACTTGGAAAACTTTCAGCCCCTTGGAACTGCTAATTCTGATAACCAGGCCAGTCCTACAATGGCGTGTTTTGGGGTTGAGGCATGCATTCTAGGTAAAAGCAAGATGGCAGCCATCTTCTGAATGAGATTGATGGAGGCCTTGGGCTCCCTATCTTTAATGGCTGTGGTTTGGGCGTATGGCAGTGGGTGGCAATAAAAGTTACTTGAGATGTCACATTATACAAAATACTAATGGTTTTTAAAAAAGGTGTAAATTGAAATGAAAAGACTACAACTCTGAAGTTTCAAGACAAGCTAGGCAATATAAATAATCAAAATATCATTTGCCTTCAGTTTGAGTCCTAATTCTAAACAGCTTACACATTTTCAAGTCAGAGTTACAGGAAAAATATTGATAGCTAAATAAACAGGGTGAGTACATGATTAATGTTTTAAAATAGTAAACACTTCACATTTGTAGCATTCCTTTAACAGATTGGTCTCGGAGACCTTGTTTTCATTCCTGCTTTGCAATCTGTGTTTTGTTTATTTATTCTCTTCGTGTTGAATTCCTCTCTTTTAATTTACCTTTCGTCTTAATTTACTCTAGGGGGCAAAGTGAAAATGTCTAAAATAAGTGAAAAATCTAAAACAATTAGAAAATTTAAGGTGAAGCAATAATCAACTCTAAGAATGTAACTGCCTTTTTCAGCAAGATAAATTGTGGGCCATAAAAGGATACTATTATTAGCTAATTTTCTTTAGACTTGTAAAGACTCCTATAGCTGCATTTTATATTTCTAAAAAAGATATAAAATTATCCAGGAAAATGCAGAGGCTCAGAGGTGGTGGAGTCTTTTTTGCTTATTACCTTAGGAATGAAATAAAAATATGATAATGAGAGGCTCTGGCAGGAATTTCCCCTCACAGACCCCAACAGTCTTGTCTAAGATGTGCACATGTTGTTTGATATTAGGTGTGGAACAAAATCTGATCACAGACATGTTAGAAAAACAAATTGAGAAACATATATATTACTCCTGTAGTTTTTACAAATCAAAAAAGATGTTCTAGAAACTATTCAGAGATAGTTGAGAGATAGTTCAGAGATAGAACTATTCAGTGATAGATCCAACCTGCTTCAACCACGTTGGATCTCACATCTGCTCCAACTGGAGACTTTAATCTACTCTTTGGGTGGAGAAGCTAACAAGTCCTATGCAAAAAGCTGTGAGGGGGTTGTTTAACTCAAATGCTGAACATGAAGGCACATTCAAAAATATGTTGGCCATGCCACCCTATGGGAGAAGGATAGGCATACGTGATATTGATAATTTGTTGGAGATAAGACAAGTAGATCCTGGCTACTCAAAATAATTTCCCTGGGTAGAAATTTACATCCCTGCTACAAGCTGAGATGGGCCTGCAACACAAATATAGATCACTGTCACTCATGGGGATTATCCAATGTAAGAATGGACCAGCTATACACAGAATGTATATCTTTCTCATTCTTCTTTTTTTCAGTAGTATTCCTTCCTGGAATAATACCAGTGTATTTTTGTGTTGCTAATCGCCCACCAAAACCAAAGGCTTATTTTGGGAGGTAGTTTAGAAAGTATCTGTTTATGATTCAGCAATTCA